AACCCATGGCGATCAGGAAGTAGACCTTGTGGGAGCAAATTCGCAGAACAAGGTCCCTTGCGACAGGCAAGAGCTTCGCCACAAGCGTTCTACGCACAACGAAATACTCAAGGAAGGGGTGACACCCCAGCGGGATGTGAGCTGCCCCCTTGGCCCAAAGACCACAACCTCCAGGGCTGCCTGCAGCACCACCAGGCACCAGCCAGAGCTCAGCCTTGACACAACTGCATTGAAACAGTGCCTCCCCCTACCAGGCTCAAGGAGGTACCACTAAGATGGCCCATTACTCAATAGGGTTGGTCCCACTCAGGGCCACGGATGGGGTGCAGTCCTGAATATCTGGGGCCTGTCTACATGGGCCCAATCACCACCACTGTCCAGGGAGGGAGAACTCCAGCTTGACCCCCAGGCTGCCCCAGAGCCCGTATTGCTCCCCTCATGTGGCCTGGGCAGTCCTCGAGGCCTGACCAGCCTACCGAGTTTCCGCTGGGAGGTGCTCTGTGTTGGGCTGAAGGAACTCTTTCTGCCTGGACCTCCATCACCTCTGTAGGGCTTTAGGAAATGCGTGCTGCTAGGGTCAGATTCCCAAGGAAGCGATGCTACTGGAGAAAAGCTGCCTCCCCGGTGGCACCTTGAGAAAACCCTAGTGGCCCGAAGGCTGACCCTCAATGGCCCCATGCTGCCTCATTCAGGGACCATGACCCCAATAGGATACACTCACCTATGCCGCTTAAGGCCATGGCCCCACCTGGACAGAAGAGCTCGCTGAAAGACATGGGGGAGAATGGCGGCTCAAGAACTAGCCCCCAATATGGACCATCCCCAGGGAACCAGATACCAAGCTCACACAACTAAACTGGGCTGCCTTACAGAGGGGTGCAGAGATACATTGGGGCCCCCCAAGTTGCCCTTCAGGGCCTCGAGTTCTCCAGTCCAAAATATAGTGGCCCTGCCAGGGATCTCAGGATCCCAGTGTCCTCTTCCAAAATTCTCACCTAGGCTGGGCCTCAGCGTAATCCTATTGAGCATGATTTTTAAGTCATCATCTCTCTTCAGGACAATATAAGGTTCTCATCATCGACCCAACCCAGGGGACCAACCCAGGGGACCAACCCACCTCACACATGACTCCAGCAGGACCCAGATGTGCTCACCACAGCTCAGTGCAGGAGACCAGTGCGCCATGAAGGACCTGAGCTTCAGAGCATCAGGGACTGGGCACCGGGCTAATGGCCACTGGCCCAGGAACAGCAGGTCCAATGCAAGCCTTCCTCCGGTCCCACCATCTGGGAGAGAGGTGGAGGACATGAGTCCAAAATGACCTCCATGTGGTAAGGAGGTAGCGGGGGTCAGTTCACGCTTGCTCATCCTCCATGGACACATGTGATGAGATCCATGTGAAAAACGGACTTGTCACCAACATGGGGCACCCTTGTCCTTCCCTGCCACCAAACCCGGGAAGGACAAGGCAGGCAGGTCACTGGGCTTGGGCCAAATGCCCAGCCTGCGCTATACTGCAGGCCCTGAGAGCACCTCCACCCTCCAAGAGGGCTCCCCTGCATGACCCCAGGGCACAGACCAGGGCCATTAGCCAGGTCATGGCCAATAAAGAAGGCTGGCCCAGATGCCACGTGCCACTGCAGTCCTGGCAGTCATGCAGTCTTCCCCTGGGTGTGGTGGGCTCACATCAAGACGTCCTCTACAAGCATGCACCAGAAATCGCAGCTTGGGGCTGCAGGGCCACGTGCTTTCTCTGGTGGGTCACCATCCATGCTCTGCACACCTCCCACCACAGAGCTAGGCTACACTTGGCCAACTCAGAGCGACATGGTGCCCTCTCCTTTGCTTGGGCCCAAGACCCTGTCACCCTGGAGGCGATGCCATGGCTCAGAAGAAGCCTGAGCAACAAAATCCTGGGACAGGTCCCTCAACAATGGGGCTTCCCACTTCAGGAAGCCACCCTCCAGGACATTTGACCTCGGAGATAGGGTGACACCCACAGGATGCAGTTGTCCCTTGGCCCAAAGCCCACAAGTCCCAAGGCTGACCTGCAGTACGACCAGGTACCACCCAGAGCTCCACCTTGACCCAACCCCAGGGAAATAATGCCACCCCACACCAGGCTCCAGGAGATCCACTGGGATGCCCCATTGCTCAACAGGGATGGTCGCATTCAGGGTCATGGGTGGGGCATGATCCTTGAATCTCCGCAACCCAACCCCATTCACACACCACACTCCAGGGACCAAGAGATCCCCTATTACCCCAGCGGCAGCCCATAGCCCCTCTGGCCTCCTTCATGTGGCCTGGGCAGTCCTGAGACCTTACTGGAGTACCAAGTCTCAACTGGGCGCTGTCCTGCGTTGGGCAGAAGGAACCCTTTCCTGCCTGGACCACCATCACCCCTGTAGGGCTTCAAGGAAGGAGTCCTCCTTGGGTTAGATTCCCAAAAAAGCCATCCTCCAAGAGAACCTTTCCCTCCCACATGGAAATTCAGGTCTGCTCCCTGAGAAAACCCTTGTGGCCCAAAGGCTGAACCTCAGGGACCCCACATGGTCTAGCTCCTGACCAATGATCCCAGCAGGATCCACTCACCTATGCCAGTCAATGCCAAGGGGTCCTCCTGGGTGGAAGAGCTCACTGAAAGACACAAGGCGAGAATGGAGGCTCAGGAAGCAGCCACCAACATTCCCCACACCAGGGAACCAGAACACCACCAACCCCACACGGGGACCCTGAGCTGCCTCGTGGAGGAGCACAGAGATAGGTTGGGCCACCTCCAGATGCCCTTCAGAGCCTCCAGGTCTCCAGCCCAAAATACAGTGGCCTGAATCTCATAATCCTCTTCCAAAATTCTCATCTAGGCTGGGCCTCAGCGTAATCCTATTGAGCATGATTTTTAAGTCATCACCTCTCTTCAGGACAATTTAAGGTTCTCATCATTGACCCAACACAGAAAACCCCTACCCGCACAAACATCCAGTGGAACCCGGATGTACTCACCACAGCTCAGTGCAGGAGACCGGGTGCCAGGAAGGGCTGGAGTTTCAAGGCACTGGGGCTAAGCGCCTGGCTGATGGACACTAGCCCAGGAAAAGTGGGCCCAACGGAAGTCTTCCTCCAGTCTCATCATCTAGAGAAACACATAACTACCCTCCATGCAGAGAAGGGGGCGGCTGGTGCCAGCTCATGCTTGCTTGTCCTCCATGGACACATGTGATGAGATTCATGCAAAATACTGACTCGTCACCAATGCAGGGCACCCTTGGCTCTCCCTGCCACCGAACCCGGGAAGGATAAAGCAGGCAGGTCACTGGGCTTGAGCAAAACACCCAGGCTGTGCCACACTGTAGGACCCGAGGGCACCTCCACTGCCCCAAACAGCTCTCCTGCATTAATTCAGAGCTGCCCTCACCATTGGGCACAAGCACGGGCCACCAGCCAGGTCACAGCTAACCAAGGAGGCTAGCCCATATGCCAGGCATCACTGCAGACTCTGCAGTGGCATAGCCTGCTCCTGGGTATGGTGGGCACGCATATAGGCACCCTCTCCAAGCCTACACCAGAAATCACCTCCTGGGACTTCAGGGCCACTTGCTTTCTCTGGTGGGTCCCCATCCATAGTCCATACACCTCCCAGACACAGAGCCAGCCACACATGGCCAATCGGGAGCCACATAGTGCCCCCTCCTTTGCTTAGTCCCAAGATCCTACCACCCTGGAGGTGACACCATGGCTCCTAAGCAGCCTGAGGAAAAATTCCCAGTCTAGGTGCCTCAACAGTGGGCCTTCCCATCTCAGGAGGCCACCCTTCATGAAACTCAACCTCAGAGAAAGGGTGACCCCCAGAGGGATGTGGGCTGCCTCTTGGCCCAAAGCCCACGAGTCCCAGGGCTGACCACAGCACCACCAGGTACCAGCCAGAGCTCCACCTTGACCCAACCCCAGGAAAACAACGCCGACCCCCACCAGGCTCCAGGAGACCCACTGGGATGACCCACTGCTCAAAAGGGATGGTCATTCAGGGCCATGGGTCAGGTGCGATCCTTGAATCTCCGCAACCCAACTCAATGGGCCCATTCACACACTCCGGGGGCCAAGAGCTCCCCTGTTACCCCATGGTTCCCTGTAGCCCCTCTGACCTCCTTCATGTGGCCTGGGCAGAAGGAACCCTTTCCCGCCTGGACCACCATCACCCCTGTAGGGCTTCAGGGAAGGCATCCTTCTTGGGTCTGATTCCTAAAAAAGCTGCCCTCCTGGAGAACCCATCTCTCCCAGGTGGGAGTTCAGGTCGGTTGCCTGAGAAAACCCTTGTGGCCCAAAAGCTGAACCTCAGTGACCCCACACTGACTATCTAATAGCCCAAGACCCCAGCAGGATGCACTCACCTATGTCGGTCAATGCCAGGGGGCCCACCTGGGTGGAAAAGCTCACTGAAAGACACAAAGGGAGAACGGGGGCTCAGGAAGGAGGCTCCAACGTGTCCCGTCGCTGGAGACCCAGAGCCTAGATACCAAGCCAGTACAGGGAGGCTGGGCTGCCTCATGGAGGAGCACAGAGATACAGTTGGCTCCACCAGATGCCCTTCAGGGCCTCCAGGTCCCCAGCCCAAAACACAGGAGCCCTGCAGGGGGCTTCGGGATCCCAGTGTCCTCTTCCAAAATTCTCACCTAGGCTGGGCCTCAGCGTAATCCTATTGAGCATGATTTTTAAGTCATCACCTCTCTTCAGAACATTATAAGGTTCTCATCATTGACCCAACCTAGGACAATCCCTCCCCACACTTGCATTCAGCAGGACCAGGATAAGCTCACCACAGCTCAGTGCAGGAGACCAGGGCGCCAGGAAAGGCCTGAACTTCAGTGCACCTGGGGCTGGGAACTGGCTGACAGACACTGGCCCAGAGCCATTGGGCCCAACGCAAGTCTTCCTCCATGCTCACCATCTGGGGGTACAGGAGGAGGACATAGTCAAAATAGGGCCTCACATCTCCATATGTAGAAGGCATAAGAGATACACACGTAAAGGATTCCATGTGGAACACTGACCCATCACGGATGCAGGGCACCCATGGCCCTCCCCTTCACCATACCCTGAAAAAACAGGGCAGTCTGCCTTCCCTGTGACCACTGTGCATGAGCCACGGCCACCAACCCGCTCCCAGCCAACCAAGGAGGGTAGCCGGAAGCTACACACTGTTGCAAACCTGGCAGTCACATAGCCTGCCCCTGGATGTGGTGGGCACCCACCAAGGTGCCCTCTCCAAGTGTGCACTGAAAATCACAGCCTGGGGACCCGGGCCACGAGCTTTCAGTGGTGGGACCCCATCCACATCCCACACACCTCCCAAACACAGAGCTGGGACACACTTGGTCAATCAAGGGCCACATAGTATCTTCTCTTTTCCTTGGTCCCAAGACCCCATCACCCTGGAGGTGACCCCATGGCTCAGAAGAAGGTGGGGTGGCAAATTCCCAGTACAGGACCTCTGACAGTGGGCCTTCCCACCTCAGGATGCCACTGTTACTGTCTCTCAAATTTGGAGAACAGGTTACCCCCAGTGGGATGCAGGCTTCCCCCTCAGCCCAAAGCCCACAGATCCCTCCCAGGGCTGGACTGCAGCACCACCAGGCACCAGCCATTTCTCAGCCTTGACCCAACCCCATTGAAACTGCACCACACCCTACCAGGCTCAATACGTGCCACTGGGATGGCCAGTTGCTCAACAGGGTCAGCCCCATTCAGGGTCACAGGTGGGATGAGATCCTTGAACCTCTGTGACTCGACCCTGTCACCACACCCCTGAAACAAGTCTGGGGACTGAGAGCTTGTACGTAACACTTGTGGCACCCCGGAGCCCTTCTGGCCCCCCTCATGTGGCCTGGGCAGTCCTCAAGACCTGACCCACACACCAAGTCTCAACTGGGCGATGTCCTGCACGGGGCTGAAGGAACCCTTTGCTATCTGGACCATCGTCACCCCTGCAGGGCTTCAGGGAAGGCATCCTCCTCAGGTAAGATTCCCAAGGAAGCTGCCCTCCTGGAGAAACCATGCCTTGCTGGTGGGAATTAGGGTCGGCTCCCTGAGGAAACCCTCACGGCCCGAAGTCTGACCCTTGGCAACCCCAAGCAGCCTGGCTCATGGACCATGACACCAGCAGGATCCACTCACCTATATTGGTCAATGTGAGGAGGACCCCCTTGGCAGAAGAGCTCACTGAAAGACAAAAGGGGAGAACTGGGGCTCAGGGAAGAGCCACCCACATGCCCCACACCCAAGGAACAACACCACCAAACCCGCACAGGGAGCCTGGGCTGCTACACAGAGGAGCAGAGAGAAAGATCTGGGCCACCTCCAGATGCCCTTCAGGGCCTCCAGGTCTCCAACCCAAAATACAGTGGCCCTGCCAGAAATCTCAGGATCCCAACATCCCCTTCCAAATTTCTCACTTAGGGTGGGCCTCAGCGTAATCCTATTGAGCATGATTTTTAAGTCATCACCTCTCTTCAGGACAATATAATGTTCTCATCATTGACCCACCCAGGGCACCCCCCTTCCTGCTTAGGCATCCAGTGGAACCCAGATGTGCTCACCAAGAGCTCAGTGCAGGAGACCAGGGCACCAGGAAGGGCTGGAGCTTCAGCACACCGAAGGCTGAACACCTGGCTGATGTACACTGGCCCAGGAAAAGCGAGCCCAACAGAAGTCTCACCATCTGGGGGAACACGTGGAGGACATGTGACCACCTCCATGTGGAGAAGGGGGTGGTGGGTGCCAGCTCACATTTGCTCCTGCTCCATGGACACATATGATGATATTCATGAAAAATACTGACTCGTCACCTATGCAGGGAACCCTTAGCCCTCCCTACCACCGAACCCGGCAAGGGCAAGGCAGGCAGGTCACTGGGCTCAGGTAAAACGCTTAGGCTATGCTGGACTGCAGGACCCGAGAGCACCTCCACTGGCCAAATCAGCTTCCTCACAGCACCCCAGAGTTGCCCTGGGAACACTGGGCACAGGCCCAGGCCACCGGCCAGGTCATGGCCAACCAAGGAGGCTGGCCCAGATGCCATGTGCCACTGCAGACCTGACAGTGGCATAGCCTACCCTTGAGCCTGGTAGGTGGGCGTACAGGCACCCTCTCCAAGCGTGCACTAGAAATCATAGCCTGGGGCTGCAGGGCCACTTGCTTTCTCTGGTGGGTCCCCATTCATACTCCTCATACTTCCCAGACACAGAGCTAGTCACACATGGCCTAACTGCAGCAACATGGTGCCCTCTCCTTTGCTTGGTCCCAAGACCCTGCCACCCTGGAAGTGACACCATGGCTCCCAAGCAGCCTGAGCAACTAATTCCCAGTACAAGTGCCTCAATAGCGGCTGTTCCCAACTCAGGAGGCCAACTTTCACGACACTTGACCATAGAGAAAGCGTGGCCCCCAGCTGGATGTGGGTTGCCCCTTGGCCCAAAGCCCATGAGTCCCAGGGCTGACCTGCAGCACCATGAGGTACTGGCCAGAGCTCTGCCTTGACCCAACCCCAGGAAAACCATGCCACCTCCCACCAGGCTCCAGGAGACCCACTGGGATGACCCATTGATCAACAGGGACGGTTGCATTCAGGGCCATGGTGTGGTGCAATCCTTAAATCTCTGAGACCCAACCGAATGGGCCAATTCACGCACCACACTCTGGGGACTAAGAGCTCCCCTGTTACCCCTGTGGCACCTCGTAGCCCCTCTGGACCCCCTCATGTGGCCTGGGCAGTTTTGGAGGCCTTACTGGAGCACTGAGTCTCAGCTGGGTGCTGCCCTGCATTAAGCAGAAGGAAGTTTCCTGCCTGGACAACCATTACCCTGGCAGGGCTTCAGGGAAGGCGTCCTCCTTGGATCCAATTCCCAAAAAATGTCGCCGTCCAGGAGAACCCTTCCCTCCCAGGTGGAAATTCAGGTCTGCTCCCTGAAAAAACTGTTGCTCAAAGGCTGAATCTCGGGGACCTCACATGTTCTGGCTCATGACCCGTGACCCCAGTAGGATCCACTCACCTATGCCAGTCAATGCCAGGGGGACCTCCTGGGTGGAAGATCTGAAAGGCACAAGGTGAGAACAGGGGCTCAGGAGGGAGCCACCAATGCTCCCTGCCCCCAGGGAACTGGAGCGCCAACATCAACCCCTCACAGGGAGCCTGGGCTGCCTCACAGAGGAGTGCAGAGACAGGTTGGGCCACCTCCAGATGCCCTTCAGAGCCTCCAGGTCTCCAGTTCAACATACAATGGCCCTGCAAGGGACCTCGGGATCCCAGCATCCTCTTGCAAAATTCTCACCTAGGTTGGGCCTCAGCGTAATCCTATTGAGCATGATTTTTAAGTCATCATCTCTCTTCAGGGCAATATCAGGTTCTCATCATTGACCCAACCCAGGGAACCCCCTCCCCGCCCAAACATCCAGTGCAACCCAGACGTGCTCACCACAGCTCAGTGCAGGAGACCAGGGTGCCACAAAGGGCCAGAGTTTCAGCACACCAGGGGATGAGCACCTGGCTGACATTGGCCTGGGGCCTGTGGGCCAACACAAGTCTTCCTCCAGGCTCACCATCTGGAGACACAGGAGGAGGAAATGTGTCTAACCAGGGCCTCACACATCAATGTGGAGAAAGGGCTAAGGGATACTCATGTGATGGGATCCATGCTGAACACTGACCCACACGGACACTGGGTACCCTTGGCCCTCCCTGCCACCAAACCCTGGAAAGATAGGGCAAGCATGTCACTTGGCTCAGGCAAAATGTCTGGGTTGCACCCTACTGCAGGCCCCAAGAGCACCTCCACTGCCCGGGACTGTTCCCACACACAACCCCAGGGCCACACCGGGGACACGGGGCAGAGGACAGGGCCACCAACCAGCTCCTGGCCAACCAAGTATGTTGGCCCAGAGGCCAAGAGCCACTGCAGACCTGGCAGTCCTGCACCTAGGCGTGGTGGGCACTGGCCGTGGTGCCCTCTCCAAGCCTAGGGGCCTCCAGGGTCACATGTTTTCTACGGTGGGTCCCCATCCATGTCCTGCCCAACTCTGACACACAGAGCCGGGTCACACTCAGCCCATCAGGAACCACATGGTGTATGCTCCTTTCCTTGGGCTCAAGACCCTGCTACACTGAGGTGACCCCCAAGACTCAGAAGCAGCCTGGGCAGCAAATTCCCAGAACAGGTCACTCAACAGCAGGTCTTACCACCTCACGAGGACACCCTTTTCACCACTGGACCTCAAGGAAGGCTTGTCCCCAGCAGGATCAGAGCTGCTCCCTTGGCCCAAAGCCCACAAGTCCTAGGCCCTGCAGCACCACCAGGTGCCAGCCAGAGCTCAGCCTTGACCCAACCTCATTGAAACAGTGCCATTCCCCACTAGGCTCAAGGAGGTGCCACTAAGATGGCCCATTGCTCAATAGGGTTGGGTCCCATTCAAGACCATGGGTGTGGAACATTCCTTGAATCTCCACAGCCTGACCGTGTGGGCCCAGTCACTCACCCCTCTCCAGGGAAGAACTCCAGTGTGACTTTCAGGGCACACTACATCCCCTGTTCCTGCCCCTCTCCCCATGTGCCCTGGGCAGTACTCCAGGCCTGACCTGGCCACCGAGTTTCAGCTGGGAGCTGCCCTACATTGGGTTGAAGGAACTCCTTCCTGCCTGGACCACTGTCACCCCTGCAGGGTTTCAGGAAAGATGTGCTCCTTGGGTCAGATTCCAAAGGAAGCATCCCTTCTGGAGAAACCATCCCTCCCTAGTAGGGAGTAGGTTGGCAGCCTGAGAAAACCCTAGTGGCCTGAAGGCTGAATGTCGTGGACTCCATGCTGCATCACTCATGGCCCATGACCAAAACAGGATGTCCTCACCTATGCTGCTCAAGGCCAGGGGGGACCACTTGGACAGAGGAGCTCACTGAAAGACACAGGGGAGAGTGGGGGCTCAGGAAGGAGACTCCAACATGCCCTGTCACCAGAGACCTGGAGCCCGGATACCAAGCCAGCACAGGGAGCCTGGGCTGCCTCACAGAGGAGTGCAGAGACAGGGTTGGGTCCACCAGATGCCCTTCAGGGCCTCCAGGTCTCCCTCCCAAAATACATTTGCTCTGTTAGGGACCTCAGAATCCCAGTGTCCTCTTCCAAAATTCTCACCTAGGCTGGGCCTCAGCGTAATCCTATTGAGCATGATTTTTAAGTCATCATCTCTCTTCAGAACAATATAAGGTTCTCATCACTGACCCAACCCAGGGCACCCTCCTGCCCCCAGTGCATGTATCCAGCAGGACCCAGATGGGCTTACCACTGCTCAGTGCAGGAGCCAAAGGCTCCAGGAAGGTCCTGAGCTTCAGAGCACTAGGGGCTGGGTGCCTGGCTGACTGACATTGGCCCAGGGATAGTGGGCCCAACACAAGTTTTCCTCCAGGGTCACCATCTGGGGAGATAGGAGGAAGACGTGTCAAAACTGACCTCCATGTCGGAAAGGGGGTTGGGGGTGCCAGCTCACCCTTGCTCGCCCGCCATGGACACATGTGATGAGTTCAATGTGAAATACTGACTCGTTAAGTACGTGGTGCACTGTTGACCCTCCCTTCCACCCAACCCAGAGAGGACAGGGCAGGTAGGTCACTGGGTTTCAGCAAACACCCAGGCTGCATGACACTGCAGGCCCTGAGAGCACCTCCACTGTCCCAAACGGCTCCCCTGCATGACCCCAGGGCTGCACTGGGACTGTTGGGCATAGACCCAGGCCACCAGCCAGGTCACGGCCAACCAAGGAGGCTGGCTCAGATGTCACACCCTGCTGCAAACCTGGTAGTTGCATAGCCTGCCGCCGGGCATGAAGGGCACGCATCCAGGCACCCTCTCCGAGTGTGCAACAGAAATCACAGCCTGGTGCTGCAGGACCATGTGCTTCCTCTGGTGGGTCCCCATCCATACTCTGCAAACTCCCACACATAGAGACAGCCACATGGCCAATCAGGAGCCACATGGTGCCCTCTGCTTTGCTTGGGCCCAAGACCCTGCCACCCTGGATATGACCCCAAAGCTTAGGAGAAGCTTGAGCAACAAATTCCTGGGACACGTCCCTCAACAGCAGGCCTTCCCACCTCAGGAGGCTACCTTTCCAGACACTTGACACTGGAAAGAGGGTGACCACCAATGGCATGTGGGTTCCCCCTTGGCCCAATGCCCATGAGTCCCAAGGCTGACCTGCGGAAGCCACCAGGTGCTGGCCAGAGCTCTGCCTTGACCCAACCCCAGGGAAACAATGCCGCCTCCCACCTCCACCAAGCTCCAGGAGACCCACTAAGATGGTCCATTGCTCAACAGGGACGGTCCTATTCAGGGCCATGGTGGTGCACGATCCTTTAATCTCCACGACCCAACCCAAGAGGCCCATTTGTGCATGACACACCAAATACTGAGAGCTCCTATGTGACCCCCATGGTACCCAGAGCTCCTCTGTCCCCTTCATGTGGCCTGGGAAATCCTCGAGGCCTGACCCGAGCATCGACTCTCAGCTATGAGCTGCCCTGTGCAGGGTGGAAGAAACTCTTTCCCGCCTGGACCACCATCACGCCTGCAGGGCTTCAGGGAAGGTGTCCCCCTTGGATCCAATTCCCAAAATAGCAGCCCTCCTGGAGAACCTACGCCTCCCCAGTGGTAATACAGGTCCATTCCCTGAGAAAACCCTCGTGGCCAGAAGGGGCACCCTTGGTGACCCCACGTGGCCTGGTTCATGGCCCATGACCCCAGCAGGATCCACTCACCTATGCCCGTCAATGCCAGGGAGCCCACCTGGGCAGAAGAGCTCACTGAAAGACACAGGGAGAACCGGAGCTCAGTAAAGAGCCACCAACGTTCCCTGGCCCAGGGAACTGGAGCACCAACACCAAGCCCACAAAAGGAGCCTGGGCTGCCTCACAGAGGAGCACAGAGACAGGTTGGGCCACCTCCAGATGCCCATCAGAGCCTTGAGGTCTCCAGCCCAAAATACAGGGTCCCTGCAAGGGACTTCGGGATCCCAGTGTCCTCTTCCAAAATTCTCACCTAGGCTGGGCCTCAGCGTAATCCTATTGAGCATGATTTTTAAGTCATCACCTTTCTTCAGAACAATATAAGGTTCTCATCACTGACCCAACCCAAGGCACCCCACTCCCTGCACATGCATCCAGCAGGACCAGGATATGCTCACCACAGCTCAGTGCAGGAGACCAGGGCACCAGGAAAGGCCTGAGCTTCACTGCACCGGGGGCTGGGAACCTGTCTGACAGACACTGGACCAGGGTCATTGGGCCCAATGCAAGTCTTCCTCCGGGCTCACCATCTGGGAGTACAGGAGGAGGATATGTGTCCAAATAGGTCCTCACATCTCCATATGGAGAAGGGGTAAGAGATACCCACGTAATGGGTTCCATGTGGAACACGGACCCATCACGGATGCAGGGCACCCTTGGCCCTCCCCTGCCCTGAAAAAACAGGACAGTCTGCCTGCCCTGTGACCACTGGGCATGGGCCACAGCCACCAACCAGCTCCTGGCCCACCAAGGAGGGTAGCTCATAAGCTACGCACCATCGCAAACCTGGCAGTCACATAGCCTGCCCCTGGACGTGGTGGGCACATGCTGAGGCACCCTGTCCAAATGTGCACTGAAAATCACAGCCTGGGGACCTGGGCCACATGCTTTCACTGGTAGGACCCCATCCACATCCCACACACCTCCCCAACAGACCTGGGCCACACCTGGCCAATCAAGGGCCACATGGTATCTTTTCCTTTCCTTGGGCCTAAGACCCCACGACCCTGGAGGTGACCACATGTCTCAGAAGAAGCCAGGGCGGCAAATTCCCAGTATAGGACCCTAGACAGTGGGCCTTCCCACCTCAGAATGCCACTGTTAACCATTACTCAAACTCGGAGAATGGGTTACCACCAGTGGGATGTGGGCTACCCACTTAGCGCAAAGCCCATGGGTCCCAGGGCTGGCCAGCAGCAGCACCAAGCGTCATACAGATCTCAGCATTAGCTCAACTGCATTGAAACTGCACCACACCCCACCAGGCTCAATACGTGCCACTGGGATGGCCTGTTGCTCAACAGTGTTGGCCCCATTCAGGGTCACAGGTAGGATGAGATCCTTGAACCTCCACAACCCGATCCCATCACCACCCCCACGAAACAAGTCTGGGGACTGAGAGCTCCTGCATGACAGCCATGGCACCCTAGAGCCCTTGTGGCCCCCATCATGTGGCCTGGGCAGTCCTTAAGGCCTGACCCGCACATCAAGTCTCAACTGGGTGATGTCCTGTGTGGGGCTGAAGGAAGCCTTTGCCATATGGACCATCGTCACCCCTGCAGGGCTTCAGGGAAGGCATCCTCCTTGGGTAAGATTCCTCGGGTAAGCTGACCTCCTGGAGAAACCATCCCTCCCTGGTGGGAATTCAGGTCAGTTCCCTGAGGAAACCCTCAGGGTCTGAACTCTGACCCCTGGCGAACCCATGCGGCCTGGCTCATGGCCCATGACGCCAGCAGGATCCACTCACCTATGTTGGTCAACGCCAGGAGGCTCCTCCTTGGCAGAAGAGCTCACTGAAAGAAACAAGGGGAGAACGGGGGCTCAGGGAGGAGATACTGACATGTCCCGTCACTGGGGAACAGGAAGGCCAACACCAAGCCCGCACAGGGAGCCTGGGCTGCCTCATGGAGGAGCACAGAGAAAGAGTTGGGCCACCTCCAGATGTCCTTCAGGGCCTCCATCCAAACCAAAATATAGTGGCCCTGCTGGAAATCTCGGGATCCCAGCATCTTCTTCCAAAATTCTCACCTAGGTTGGGCCTCAGCGTAATCCTATTGAGCATGATTTTTAAGTCATCACCTTTCTTCAAGACAATATAAGGTTCTCATCATTGACCCAACCCAGAGAACCCCCTCCCTGCACAAACATCCAGTGGAACCCGGATGTGCTCACCACAGCTCAGTGCAGGAGACCAGGGCGCCAGGAAGAGCTGGAGCTTCAGTGCACCAAGGGTTGAGCACCTGGGTGACGGACACTAGCTCAGGAAAAGCAGGCCCAATGGAAGTCTTCCTCAATTCTCATCATCTGGGGGCACAGGTGGAGGACATGTGACCACCCTCCATGTGGAAAAGGGGGTGTTGGGTACCAGCTCATGCTTGCTTTCCCTCCACGGACACGTGTGATGAGATCCATGCAAAATACTGACTCATCACTGACGCAGGGCACCCTTGGCCCTCCGTGCCACCAAACCCAGGAAGGACAAGGCAGGCAGGTCACTGGGCTCAGGCAAAATGCCCAGATTGTGCTGTATTTCAGGCCTGGAGAGCACCTCCACTGCCCAAAACAGCTCCCCCATATGACGCCAGGGCTGCCCTGGGACCACTGGGCACAGACCTGGGCCACCAGCCAGGTCATAGCCAACCAAGGAGGCTAGTCAATGCCAGGGTACCCACCTGGGTGGAAAAGCTCACTGAAAGACACAAAGGGAGAACGGGGGCTCGGGAAAGAGTCACCAACCTGTTCAGTCTCTGGGGTACCAGAGCACCAGCACCAAGCCTGGACAGGGAGCCTGGGGACCTTCATGCAGGATTGCAGAGGCAGGGTTGGGCTCCTACCAGATGCCCTTTCAGGGACTCCAGGTCTCCAGCCCAAAATATAGTGTGGCTCTGCCAAGGACCTCAGAATCCTATCGCCCTCTTCCAACATTCTCACCTAGGCTGGGCCTCAGCATAATCCTATTGAGCATGATTTTTAAGTTATCACCTCTCTTCAGAAGAATATAAGGTTCTCATCACCAACCCAACTCAGGGCACCCCCCTCCCCACACATGCATCCAGCGGGACCTGGTTGTGCTCACCACAGCCCAGTGCAAGAGACCAGGGAACCAGGAAGGGTCGGAGTTTCGGTGCACTGGGAGCTGAGCACCTGGCTGATGGACACTGGCCCCGGGGCCTTCGGGCCCAATGCAAGTCTTTCTCCAGGGTCACCATCTGTAGGGAAAGGAGGAGGACATGTGTCCAACCAGGGCCTCATGTATCAATGCAGGGAAGGTGGTTAGGGGATACCCTTGTGATGGGATCCTTACAGAACACTGACCCAACACGGACGTGGAGCGAGCACCCTTGGCCCTCCCTGCCACCAAACCCTGGAAAGACAGGGCAAGCGGGTTACTGGGCTCGGGCGAGAGGTCTGGGCTGTGCCTTACTGCAGGCCCCAAGAGCACTTCCACTGCCCGGGCCGGATCCCCCGAGCAACCCCAGGGTCGCACTGGGACCAGGGCAACCAACCTGCTCAAGGTTGGTTCAGTCAAGGAGGCTGGTCCTGGTGCCAAGAGCCACTCCAGACCTGGCAGTCACAGAGCCTGCCCTGGGCATGGTAGGGCCACCCTGGTGCCCACTCCAAGCACGCACCAGAAATCAAAGTCCGGGGGCCTCCAGGGCCACATGCTTTCTCTGATGAGCCCCATCCATGCCCTGCACACCTCCCAAACACAGAGCCAGGCCACACTCAGCCAATCAGGAACCACATGGTCCTCTCCTTTCTGTGGGCTCAAGACCCTGCCACCCTATAGGTGACTCCATGGCTCAGAAGCAGCCTAGGTGGCAAATTCCCAGGACAGGTCCCCTTGACAGCAGGTCTTCCCACCTCAGGAGGCCACTCTTCCCACCACTGGACCTCAAGGAAGGGATTACCCCAGTGGGACAGGAGCTGCCCCCTGGGCCTAAAGCCCATGAGCCCCAGGACCGGCCCACAGCACCACCAGGCAACAGTTGAGTCTTGACACAACTGCAGTGAAACAGCGCCACCCCCAACAGGCTCAAGGAAGCACCACTAAAATGGCCCATTGCTCAACAGGGCTGGTCCCATTCAGGGCCGTGGGTGGGGCGCATTCTTCGAATCTCCACAGCCTGACTGGGTGAACCCTATCACTCACCCCTCTTCGGGGAAGAACTCCAGCATGACCCCCAGGGCACCCCAGAGCCCCTGTGGCCTCCATCATGTGGCCTCGGCAGTCCTCGAGGCCTGACATGCCCACCGAGTTTCAGCTGGGAGCTGCTCTATTGGGCTGAAGGAACACTTTCCTGTCTGGACCGTCACCCTGCAGGGCTTCAGGAAATGCATGCTCCTAGGGTCAAATTCCCAAGGAAGCGATCCTCCTGGAGGAACCATCCCTCCCGGTGGGTATTCGGTTGGCTCCCTAAGAAAACCCTAGTTGGCCCAAAGGCTGACTCTCGATGACTCCATGCTGCCTCACTCATGGCCCATGACCCCAACAGGATGCACTGACCTATGCCGCTCAAAGTCAGGGGCCTCACCTGGGCAGAAGAGCTCACTGAAAGACACAGGGAAGAAGGAGGGCTCAGGAAGGGGCCATCAAATTGCCCTGTCCCCGGGGAAGTGGAGCACAGACACCAAGCCTTCAAGGGGAGCCTGGGCTGCCTCACGAAGGAGTACACAGACAGCGCTGGGCCCCCACAAGATGCCCTTCATGTTCTCAAGTTCTCCAGTGCAAAATAAGTGTGGCCTTGCTAGAGATCTTTGGATCCCCGCATCATCTTCCCTAATTCTTGCCTATCCTGGGCTTCAGTGTAATCCTATTGAGCATGATTTTTAATTCATCACCTTTCTTCAGAACAATATAAGGTTCTCATCATCAGCCTAACCCAGGGCACACCCCTCCCCACCCATGCTTCTAGCAGGACCCCGATGTGCTCACCTTGGCTCAGTGCAGGAGCTGAGCATGCCAGCAAAGGCCCAAGCTTCAGCACACTTGGAGCTGGGCACCTGGCTGACTGACA